AATTTTTCTTATTTTTAAATTTTTTGATTGAATAAGTACGAAAGAAACTAACCACAAGCACTGAATAGTGCAAGAGTCTTGCTCAAGAACATGCAGCAAGAACGTGGGAGCCAACACGACAGTACACAGCCCTCAGAGTCGTCCATAGCTTCACGAGCCAAGGTATCGGCAACTTCGTTCACACTTCTTCTGCACCATCTCACCTCAATCACCCACTCTCGATCTAATAAAGAAAATCTTTGTTGTATTATTTATAAATAAAAAATATTAAAAGTGGTGAAAAATATTAAATTCAACTTTTATCTGATTCAAACTCTATTGATTAGTTAGGAGGCTTCTAGCTGATATAATCCATATCATATAACCAAATCAAGCAAACAATTCAATATTTATTATATTTTATATTATGATTAATTGATTATATTTTTCAATAATATATTATTGTATATAAATAATAAACTCTTATTATATCAATGATAAAATTTTTATATATCAATATAAGTTGGCCATATTTTTAAATTTTTAAAAATTTAGTCTATATTTTTTGAACACAAGATTTTTTAGCTAGTAGACCAATTTGTCCTTTTAGTAGTTATCAAAACAGTTTTTAAAATTTTACAACAATATTTTACTTACAAAATTTTATTTTGATTTTATGTGACATATTGATTGAAATTTATAAATAATATGGTTACACATATACAATAATATTTTCTCCATTTTTTAATATTTTTATTTATAAATAATAAAATGAAGATAAGAATAAATATTTAACAGAATCTGAAAATAAAAACAAATATTGTTATTCTAGTAAGATGGCCTAAATTGTTTGGGCTATAGTCTTGGGACAATCCGATAAAAGCGGGAGAGGGATTCCTCCCTTTTCTTTCCCTCATTTTTCCTCCTACCATTGATTTGATTTGATTTTATTTAATAAATTTATTTTAATTATAAATTTAATGAAAGGTAGGGATTAAAAAAAGGGAAAGAAAATAAAGGGAGGAACCCTTCTCTGGATAAAAGCCGCACAGATTTGGGCGGTGAAGATTAGGAAAATAAGGACTGGAATAATAATAAAGAAGTGGAGACACCCTGTGATCGCAAATCCTGTCCGCCCTTACCTTGCTTTTTCCACTTGAGCTATCCTTGACTAATGACATAAACAATTTTTTTTATTTTTTTGGTTTAGTTTTTCTTTAGAGAAAAAAAAAGAAAGAATGACGAGTAAAAGCCTCATAAAAAATTAATATTAAATAGAAATTTTAATGTTAAAAAATATTGAATTTAAAAATTTTAGTTATGAAGAAATCTTAAGTTGACAATGATTTTTTTTTTAATTAAATTGCTTGATATTTTGAAATATCAACTTTACAGTAGTTACGAGTATCAATGAAACGATCTGAGATTGCTTTAATTATTACTTTTATTACTTTCTAAGGTTCAAACTTTTATCTTAAAAAATGCTTGTCATAACCCTTTTCAACGAGACGGAGTGTTGATTGGTGACATTGATCTTTTCATGTGGTCCTTCCTTGTCATTTCACCAAAAAAAAAAAAAGAATTACCTGCATACTTGATTTTTGGGTAAATCCTTATTGCTTATTGTGGGCCGACTTGTAACTAAGAAGGGGTTAGACCTGGTCCAAATATTTCCATGGGCCAACAAAGGGGGCCTTTAGGGGGCCAAGCCCTAAGTTAACCCTAATTCCTCTTCATCGCTTATAAAACGGAAGCTGGAGGCGTAGTCGTCCGCCTCATAATTCACGGCTATACGCGGCTTAGCAGGTGATGAAAATTCAATTTTTCTGGTGTCGCTACCATCGCTGTATTCTACTTTCGATCGTTTAGTTTTTTTTATTTTTTTATTTTTTGTCCTCAGAGGTTCCTTTGTTTTCAATTTTCCTACTGCTTCTTTCAAAATATATTTTGAGGATTGATCGGTGTGGTTTTCTCTATGATGATCAAAGAATGATGACGAGTCCGATCTTTCCATTCTTTAAAATTGTGACGACAAATCGAGGCATTTGTCTGAGAGGAATCCACTCTTTTATCTTCTTATTAATTTTTTTTTATTTCAACAATCCTTTTCTTGTTTGATATCCGACACAATCAATCGATCTGCCGACTGTTCGATTTTTCTTGGATGATATGGAAAGAATATTTTGACATGGTTTTTTTTGTTTGATAAATGGGAATCAATTGCTTGGCATAGTGATGAAAACTCAAAATTATTCATATGATATTCATATGATGATACAAATCCTCCTACTCATTCTGAATGCCGATATTATTCGAAAGCGTTTTGTATTTATGGTTTCGTATGCGTATCTTTTAATTTACGTGGCTCAGCAGTCGTTGAATTGAGATGTTTGAAGAATTTATATTAATTCTCTGAAATGCGTGAGAAAGGCATTATGTGGCTGTGATGATAAGCTTAATCTCTCATTCTCAATTTGTTGAGATTTCGATGATTGTATTTCAAGCACTTTTGAGCTACGTTCTTTCTCCCATTTTGATCAATTTGTTTGAATCCTATTAACATTTGATGCCAAATAAAACCTTTTAAAAATTAATAAAATTATTTTATGAGTTGAGTTTGAATAGAAGCCTATTTATTCAAATCGGCTGCGGATTGAATATAAAGGCTATGGGGTTAAGTCGTGGAGGCTCTTGCTTTTGAATAAAAATCCATGATCCTTTTCAAAATATTTGATAGTAATCAAATATAATGGTGTCCAATGGGATCGATCGGAAATAAACTATCTGATGTGATTCGAATGTGTTATGAAAGTTGGAATGATCAGTCGATGTGGTAAAAGTTGATCTCAATACCCTTTTTTTGGACCTAAAGTATGATGTCATTATTTAAGAGCAAAATACAAAAGCGAACTTAAGCAAGATGAGACACGAGAAGAACAACAAAGCAATCCAACACTAGAAAATGAAGGCCATGCAATGTAACGAAGAATTCGAGTCTCACAAGCTAAGTGGATTCTTGGTTTTCAGGGAGGGCAGGACTGCTAGGTATCCAATTGGGACTACGAATCTGCTAGTGTAGGAAAGAAAGTGATTTTGTACCCAGAACCGAACCTATTGGCTTTATTTGGTACATACACCTAAATTTGAAAGAATTGGGATTGAGACTGTGATTAAAGTTTTAAAATTATATTCAATGTGGAGTAATAATGATAGGAAATACTTGTATTTATTTTATTTTATAATTAAATATAAATTATTAAAGGACTATAATACTCAATTTAATTAATAAAAAAATTCTAGCCCTAATAGATTTTTTCTCTGTATTGATCTAACCCCAACTCTTCCTTGCCTTTGCCATGATCACCACCCTCTTCCTTTGTCGCAATTACTCTCTTCTTTCAAGTTGCAAGTAAGAAGCATGGGAAGCAAGTGCAGAGCTAATTGCTTCAAGGTATTGAGGAAAGCAACCAAGAAAAATACTCTTCACTCCCCCTGTGCATAGATTAGACAAGGATCTCTTTCCAAGAAGGCCATCTCTCCATTCTCCAATCACATGGCTATGGGCAACAAAATCTTGATAACTCATCCCAATTTTAAGGAATAAGAATTTGAGGAAGCATAGTTCATTGTGCCTAACGGTGAAGAAATATTCGGACGATGTCTTTACCTAACGAAGCTTCTTGATGGACTGAGGGAGTTCAAAAGGTGAAGGGCTTCGCAATGGCGATGACAGATCGTAAGCTTCACAGTGATGGAGAGGATGCTCTATTGAGAGGCGAGATCAAGCGATGAAATTCAGAGGGGCATTTTATTTGAAAATTATTATAAGCAATGATATTTTTGTCTGAAAATTTTCCAATCCGCGGACTAAATTTTCAATATCAGGTGGAGGTTGGGTTTGAGTAATCTCATATAAGTAGGATTGAGCAATTTCAAGTTAGCCCCAATCCTTCATACCAAACACATTAATTTTGGGCCTTTCTCAATACCAATCCAAATTCAATCCTCTATTCTTTCACACCAAATAGGGGCTTAGATCATATAATCAGTGATAATGGTAACAACCATCCACTGGAAAACGAGATTCAACAGGTCAGGTAACATCTTTATGAAGGAGGCGACATTGAGATTCGCTACTCTCCCAGGAAAGCAATCATATATGCAGAAATAGTAGTTAAAATAGTCCATAGCCAGGATAAAACTCTCCAAATCCTCAATGAAGCACCTGACAAGTGATAGCTGCAAAGCAGTTTTTTCAGCTTGTTCACAATGTTACTAGCTAAGGACTAGACTTTTTCTTATACTCTAAAGATGGCAATCGAGCCCTTCCTTCCTTCCTTGGCGTTGATGCTGCACAACAAATACGTCGGTGGGGTACTGGAGTCAAAGAAGAAATAAGAAAAGAGTATATGGTTTTGAATACTATGCTGACATCCATTTCCGTTGAAAAACACAAATTTCTGCGGCCAGCTTGAAGACTCCCCCACCAAAAAAAAAAAAAAAACTAAATGTGAAACCGACTAATCCTGAAGGACGATTAAGCGCTCTGTTTACTGATTTTTATTAAGTGGTAGATATACTGCAGAGCAAGGTCATGCTTCAAAAGTCAAGTTTGCAGCGAGAATTACTTTTTTTTTTTTTTGGACACCAGATCTCGAACTAATTGGTGCTTATAGTGCCTTTGCAATATGCATTTCCTTTTGAAATTATGAATCAACTCAGTGAGGTTTTGTTTCTGAAAATGACTATTTTTATCAGTTTTTTAAGAATGGCGACAAATTATATTTGACTTGGCCCCCAAAAAATTTTTAAAAATGGATTTTGGGAGAAGGTATCTTGATCCCAAATGAGAACCACGCAACGTGGGCCATGAAAAATGTAAAAAATAATTAGAAAAGGGAAGTGGAATAGTTATAGGCTTGTAGCAGGAGGCATTAGCTTGAAGCCTTAAAGCAGCCAATAAGAGGAGACCTTATCCTATCCGTTATCTTGGAGCCACAAGAGCCACGAGATAATAATGAAAAATCCATTCTGGGCCAACACAGAATGCCGCACTAGTTAATCTCATTGAAGCACCGCAGAGATCAATTTGTGGCAATCAACAATGGCAGCCTCACTCCAAGCCACGGCTACCCTCATGCAACCCGCCAAGGTGGGCGCCTCTGCTCGGATCAGCTCCTCTGCGTTCAAATCCACCCACGCTATTTCTAAAGCGTTCGGTTTGGAACCCGCTGCAGCCAGGCTCACCTGCTCTCTTCAGTCTGATCTCAAGGACTTGGCTCACAAATGTATCGATGCCACCAAAATCGCTGGATTCGCCCTTGCCACCTCTGCTCTCGTCGTCTCTGTATGCTTCTTTCCCTTTCCTCTTTGTTTCAATTTCTGAGGCCTTCGCACTAATTTTGCCTTATTATTCCTTTTGTCCCCGTTTATAATTTCTCTTTTTGTCCCCCGTTGAACTCATAATGAGATCATCTGCGGTGTGTTGGTTGCATCAATAAACTTAATTTGTTCAGTGGCAGCATATGATCTTAATTATCAGTCATTCCATTCTATTACGCTGCATATTTATTTGCCTCGAAAGCATGGTGCGTAGTGATCGTGAGCCTGTGGTCTAAAATAAAACCGTCAAAGTTCGTGGTTGTAGTTTTTATTGTGGCGCACATTGGAAATAAGTTTTGGCATCAGGCATCTGCTTATTCAGATGATCATGTGTTTTAACTGTCTAACTTCAACTCAATGGCAATCATATAGAGGGCTGAATTGCTGAACCTTTTAGGAGCTAATTTAGGTTGAGAATTTGTGGAACTGTGGAGACCTGACTATAGTTGTCATGAATATGAGAATGTTCTTGTTGCTGTTTTGGATTCAGGGAGCAAGTGCGGAAGGTGTTCCGAAGCGATTGACGTACGACGAAATCCAGAGCAAGACATATATGGAAGTGAAGGGAACCGGAACGGCGAACCAGTGCCCGACCATCGATGGCGGAGTGGATTCGTTCGCCTTCAAGCCTGGCAAATACGAAGCCAAGAAGCTCTGCCTAGAGCCGACTTCCTTCACCGTCAAGGCCGAGGGAGTCAACAAGAACGCACCCCCTGAGTTCCAAAACACCAAACTCATGACCCGCTTGACCTACACTCTAGACGAGATCGAAGGACCATTCGAAGTCACCCCCGACGGCTCCGTCAAGTTCGAGGAGAAAGATGGGATCGATTACGCCGCCGTAACGGTTCAGCTTCCCGGTGGTGAGCGCGTGCCCTTCCTCTTCACCATCAAGCAGTTGGTGGCATCTGGGAAACCAGACAGCTTTAGTGGAGAGTTTCTTGTCCCATCCTACCGTGGATCCTCGTTCTTGGACCCAAAGGGACGGGGTGCTTCAACTGGTTACGATAACGCCGTGGCATTGCCTGCCGGTGGCAGAGGAGACGAGGAGGAACTTGCAAAGGAAAACATCAAGAGCGCTCAATCATCCAAAGGGAAGATCACCTTGAGTGTGACCAAGAGCAAGCCTGAAACTGGAGAGGTAATTGGTGTGTTTGAGAGCGTTCAGCCATCTGATACCGATTTGGGGGCGAAAGCTCCCAAGGATGTCAAGATCCAGGGCATCTGGTATGCTCAGCTTGACTCTTAGACCTTCTCTACTTGCCTTTGTTTTTGTTGGTTCAGATTTTGCTGTAACTCCACGCACTCCCAAGTTTCATCGCGTTTGTATATTATATGACTTCCCATCGTAATGCTTAAAATGGCAGAGTTCCTCCATTTTACTCCGTTTTCACGCTAATGGCATTTTGGGGTTATAAATTATGATCACTGCTTCGTCCAGTTTCGACAGATTTTCCACGATTTCTACCCTTTTATTCTTTTCCTCTGCTCGTTATGCGATACAATATACCATTGGCACTCCAAATATCACACCCATATCAATATTAATTTCCATCCTAGGCACAAGAGTACGGGACTCGCACTTATTTTAAGTTGAGGCCTAATTTTTCCACTTCTTCTGCCAACAGCCATTAGGCACTGTCCATCTAAGACGAATGATATTGTTTTAATTTCAGGACCTTGAAAATATGAAAGCACAGGCAAATGACCTCTTGGATGTTGTTTTCTACTTTTATATTCTTATTAGTTTTGTGAATTAAAGTGCAAACAAAAAATGTTCTATTTTTTAATTGCATATTAAGAAAATGGTTTGAAGAAATGGATTTGAAGGCAGATTGGGTATACCAATAAAAACACAATGCTAGATTGTGGCGATCAGCAACTTGCAGCGCATTGGGGTAGTCAACGGTGGTTAGTAGCAATTGAATAGGTTTGTTGACATCAATCCGCGATGGCTACCGATCGTTAACGGCAAAGGGTGGTGGTTGGTAATGATCAATCGAAGGTGGTAGTGGCAGTGATGGACAATGGTTTGTCACAGGTTGGGTTGATGATGATTGACATAGAGAATGGCAGTAACCATCAATAGGAATCGGTCCAATTAGGAAGAATTTAACTTGTAATCATAAGTTTGTGAGATTAAATTACACAGATAATCTTATTAGTGAGTAACCTGTAAATGTTAATTTAGTCTAGAAATATGTCTTGTCTTGTCCCCAATGATCCTGAGTTGTGAGTATCACCTCGCTTAAACATTTTCATATTAAAAACGGGGGAAAAAAAACAGAACGGTATAACTGCTAAGCCTGCTAGTAATTGTTGATGATGGTTGGTTGCTATTGGCCACGGTATGGTGATAAGTAATAGTTGGCCTGGCGATAGTCCACGGCAGTAGGAACCAAGGGACAAATAAGAGGTTATAAGAGCAAAACCGAAAAAAATAAGAACAAAACAACGTTTAATTATTTTTATTTTCTGTATGTTTAAATAAGAGAGAAACATGTTTTGACTTCTGAGAATAAACATGAATTGCCTATCTAAATAAATTTTTAATTGTAATTTATTATTCTAAAAACACTTGAAAGTTGTCAAGAGGCGTACCCAAAGCTGTTCTCTTTTCACCTTTATCATTTCCGGCTATCGTGGCGGTATTTCCCCTGTGAACGAATCTAATGTACAGAACTCAATTATTTATTTCGAATTGAGAGGGCCCAACATGACTACTAGTCATTGTTCCCATAAATAATTTATCGTCACAACTGAGAACATATTCTCCATTGATCTGGCTTTATTTCTTAATTAAAACAATTAGACGGGAATACATTCATGATGCATGCCGTGATTAATATTGCAAAAAGAAAAAAGAATACTTCAATATATTTTGCACGCCGTTCCCCACGCCCCCCCCCCCCCGGGGTGCCGTAATACTGTTATGGGTGGAGCCCAATGGTGCTTTCCTTTGCTGTAATTTAATGCAAAAGTGGGATTGAAAGGTGCTTTGTCGTGCTAATGACTGTGAGGCGGGGACCCCATCCATAAATGCCACAAAAATTACACGCCTTGTTATTTAATGTAATTTGTTGGATTAGATTAAAGAGCCGCGTACGCGAATCCAGCCAGCCACCGCACCGACGAAACGCATTATGATTTTCTACGGACAATATGACACGATGCCAAATTCGCTTCCTTAATTTCATTCTTCTTTGCAATTCACTCTAAAACCCAACACCTCAGGTCCATTTCATTTGTGTTTCTAGAATTCCATGCTCTCTCCGCTTTAATTTTCTTCCAGTCCTCGTTTCTATTTCTTTTTTCCCCCCTTTTTGGAAATTATTTGCTTCCCCCAACTGTGATTTCAGAGAGAATTCTTAGTCATGTTTAATGAGACGGAGGATTGATATACGATGACCAGCACTTGCATCCACGGATGGACGAGCTGCCGGGAGCATTTGGCACCAGCGCCAGCTTCGCTCTTCGATTGGGGCAGACCGTCTTCTCCTCAGCTTCCCTTCTCTTTATGTGCTTGGATGTCGAATTCTACAGCTACACTGCTTTCTGGTTTGTTTTTATTCCCTTCGTCTCCATCATTTCTGGTATTCTGCATTTATATTCCATAGGATCCTGTTGTTCTTCCCAAACGCGATTCTGGGTCGCTGAATTTGACTTTTTCCCCGATTCTCTGCCTTTCTCCTGACGTGCTCCAGGAAAGTAGGCACCCTTATTAATTTATCATCTTTGCTTCTGTCGTACGAAGTTGCAATTGATAATTGGCTCCAATTTTTTCAAAAGTTGCATGGATATTTATTAGGAATTTAGGATTGACTTTGCAAAGTGTATGCCGTGGCTTGTAAATGAATTATTGCCAAACTATAGGTACAATTACAGGTAGCAGAAAAGCACAGCTATCAAAAGGTTCTAGAACAAGAGTCTGGAGAGGAATGATGAAAGCATGAAACGAGCTAATCTCCCTTTTCGAGTAAGGAACGAACTCCACAAATTTACACCCAAATCATCCCCCCCAAAGAAAAAAAAAAAACAACGCTTCCTCTCCTTTATAGTTGTTGCCTCTATTTTAGGGAAAATACCAGGATATATCCTATAATAGAATGGTGCTTCTCTGCCTTGTGACAGTTCATCCATGCGTCACACGTCACTTCCACCTTCTCATCTCTTGCCTTGATCTCAGCCTTCCATACTATCATTTTCCCGTCATGGGGTTGAGGAAGAAATTAAGTCGTAGAACTTTGGGATTACCTGTTCATGGCTGAGTGTGTTTCTCTGATAAAGGTGTTGAAAATTCCATAGAAGATAAGAAGAAAGCCAAATCATTGATGGTATGCTGCGGATCACTGCTTCAACTCTATAGTGAGAATAGCATTATATGTAAATTGAACTAAACTTTGTGAAGAATTTGTTAACTTGGCCATTTCACTGCCTGATTAATGGAGGCAAAAGCATGAGCGTATGGCTGCCTTCGATATTTCAAAAGTTGTATCGGCCAGTAGATGTGCCTTGGAGTTCATATGTGTAGGTTATGTCTCGTGCTTAGTGTCACCAGGGGTGAGATTTTAAATGTTCTACTTTTTGTGTTGCTCTGCAGCTATTTGGTAACAGTCATGGGTTTGGTTATCCCATGGAGCGTAACATTGTTGGTGGTGGATGCTTACTGTGTCTTCATAAAATGTTTGCCTCATCAACGGAGGATCATATCAATCATCGTCTTGGGAGACATGGTATGAGCAGTGAGTCACCTCTGTCTTCCAGGTATAGTTGTCACAACATTGCACTAATGATATTGAATTTTTCTGCCACAGGTATTGTCTTACCTCTCACTGGCTGCAGCATGTTCAACAGCCAGCGTCACAGATATTCTGCTTGATGTTGGTGGATCCTATTGCCCGCCGAAGTTTTGTGGTAGATATCAATTGTCTGCTGCAATGGCTTTCTTGTCTTGGTTCCTCTCATCAGCTTCCTGTCTTTTTAATTTTTGGCTTCTGCCCATTCTGTAAAGGAATAGCTGGCTTCTTGTGGATAGGTAAAGGAATGAGAAGGGTGCATATGACGAAGTCATTCACCTATATGCTGATATATTTTTGTTACCCTGTAAATAAAATTCGAATGGCAAGCAATAGCCAACAATGTGATAAATAATAATTGCGTTTCCTATGCAAGGGTCAAGAATAATCTATCTCGTTTCTTCTAAAGTTCCTCCTTTTAGGCGACTTTTGGTGCATGTCTTGTGTAGAGTTGATGACTGACTGATGAGACTCCAGAAGGTAATGGCAGTATGGTAGTATTTCATGCTTCACATATAGAGGAAAGCGTTCAAATCTTTTAGTCGTTTCAGCTTAAATTGCAATAACCGATCCTCTTATTGGGAAATGACCTTTGCAAAATAAATTCCTGGAAGAGTAATTATGTGTTCAAAAAACTGAGGCTGAAAGTCATCTATAGCTATGGATATCGGCCTTTCTTAAGAATATGTATGTTTCTGATGGAACTCTACTGCTAAACAGATAAATATGCAGAGATAATAGAGATTAATGACCAACAAATCAGGAGAAATACTGGGGTTTGATAATAATAATCCCAAAAGGCTGAATCAATGTTACAAAAGACACTTCAGCGATTCAAACAAACCCTATTCCCAAGTTACAGCCGGAACTCACAACACTACTGTGGAACCCAAACACATGCAATGCTATCTAAGCATGCCCTCTGGTTTTTGAGAGCCAGTCTCTCCCTTGAACAAAATCCAAAAGTAATGACTCCTCCCCCCAAATGAAACTAACGGCTACTATAACTCAAAAGCAAAGTGCACAGTATTCCACACCAAGTTCTGCTAAAGCAGACCTAAAACCACTATGAGTCAATACTAGGTTTGACTAGCTTTCTCCTTAAGAGTAAGGAGAGCAAGGTCAACGTTCTGCCCCTTAGAAAGATGCTTTCCCTTTTCTTGTATTTTTCTGAATCTCCTCTTATAGGTTTTTCCAGCAAAACAGAGTCTATCATTACCCTCCCCTAAAAGCTTCACCTTGTCCTCAAGGGGAAAATGTGGAAATTGCCTAGCAAAAGCAGCCGCATCCTCCCATGAATTCTCAAAGTCGGGCAGATCTTTCCACTTGACTAAAACTTCCAGCTGGCCGTTCATGAGTTTGCGAGCTTTACAAATGTCTTGAGGCTGAACTTGCAACTCCCATTCAGCAGAAAGAGCAGGCGGAATAGTTGGGATCACAGCAGTAGAGGAAATTGATTTTTTAAGTTGAGAAATGTGAAAGACAGGGTGGATTCTAGCTGTAGGAGGGAGTTCCAACTTGTAGGCCACCTGACCAACCCTCTTGATAACTCTAAATGGGCCATAAAAGCGTGGGCTGAGCTTTTCATTGATCCTTTTAGCCAAGGACTTCAACCTGTAAGGTCTAATTCACACATATACCATGTCACCCACCTCCAACTGTACATCACGCTTATGCTTATCAGCTTGCTCCTTCATTTTTTGTTGAGCCAAGTTCAGGTTTTCCTTCAAAACAGCAATTATGTGATTGTGGGCTTGAAGTTGGGCATTAACAGCCTCAATTGGTGAAGGTTCATCACTGAGCTTGCAGAAAACGGGTGGATCTCGTCCATATACAGCCCTAAAAGGTGTCATTCCGGATGCACTATGGTATGTGGTGTTGTACCAATATTCAGCCCAAGATAACCATTGAACCCATTGGGTGGGTTTTTCAGTTGTGAAGCAACGTAAATAAGTTTCCAGCCCCCTATTCAGTACCTCAGTTTGGCCGTCTGTTTCCGGGTGATAAGCGGAACTAAGGCGTAACTGAGTTCCAGCCCGGTTAAATATCTCTTGCCAAAATTGACTGATAAAAATTCGATCTCCATCAGACACAATGGTTTTTGGAAAACCATGCAATTTGACAATCTCATTCACAAATTTGACAGCAACATCTTGGGCAGTAAACGGGTGCGAAAGAGCGAGAAAATGAGCATATTTAGTGAGACGATCCACCACAACCATGATTGTATCGTACCTCTTGGCTCTAGGAAGCCCGGTAATGAAATCCATGCTAATATCTTCCCATACTTGTTGAGGAATGGGTAGAGGTTGTAACAGCCCAGCTGGGGATAAGGCTTGATATTTATTTTTTTGACACGTATCACATTGAGCTACATATTGCTGAATATCCTTCTTCATGCCCTCCCAATATACCACCTGAATCAGCCTTTTATAAGTGCGTAAGTAGCCCGAATGTCCTCCTACCGGTGAGTCATGAAATTCTTTGAGTAATAATGGAATTCTACAAGACCCTCTCGGTAGGACCAACCTCTCCTTATAGTGTAAGCACCCCTTTTTAATGCTGTACCCCTCGACACTGTTGGGCTTTGTGATAAGATGCTGCATCACAGCCTTGAATTTAGGGTCCGCCATCACCTCTTTTTCCTAATCTTCAATTTCATCATACTGCCATAAGGAAAACCCATTTATTTCTAGGTTCTCCTCTTGTCTTGAGAGCGCATCAGCAGCCCTATTTTCCTTGCCCGGCTTGTACACTATCTCAAATTTATACCCCATTAATTTGGATACCCAGTGTTGTTGATTTTCCTCAACAATTCTCTATTCCAGCAAGAATTTAAGCGCCTTTTGATCAGTTCGGATGATAACTTTGTGGCCCCATAGGTAGTGACGCCACTTCTTAACTGCCATAACAATCGCCATCAACTCTCTTTCATAAATGGAACACTGTTGAGCCCTGTTAGATAGCTTTTGGCTATAATAAGCTATTGGCTTGCCCCCTTGCATCAACACTGCCCCCACACCCGTCCCAGAAGCATCAGTTTCGAGTTCAAAAGGAACAGAGAAATCGAGTAAAGTCAACACAGGAACAGTTGTCATGGCTGTTTTGAGCTTCTCAAATGCCTCTTCAGCCACGTTGGTCCATTTGAATGCATCCTTTTTGAGCATATCAGTAAGTGGACATGCTATCTTCCCATAATTTTTCACAAACCTTCTATAATAACCGGTCAGCCCTAAAAAACCTCTCAACGATTTCACATTCTGAGGTTTAGGCCATTTGATCATGCTCTCAATCTTAGCCGGATCAGCTTATACCCCTTCTTGAGATATGATGTGCCCAAGATATTCAATCTTCGGTTGGGCAAACATGCACTTCTTCAAGTTAATCACCAGTTGGTTCCCTTTTAAAATAGAAAAGACATCCTCCAAGTGCTTGAGGTGAGTAGTTAAATCACTACTATAAACAAGTATATCATCAAAAAATACAAGCACAAATTTGCGTAAGTATTCATGAAATACCTCATTCATTAGTGATTGAAAAGTTGAGGGAGCATTGGTAAGTCCAAAAGGCATTACCTTGAATTCATAGTGCCCCTCATGTGTTCTAAAAGCTGTCTTTGGTTCATCTCCAGTTTGTATCCTAATTTGATGATATCCTGATTTGAGATCCAGCTTTGTAAAAATAGTTGCTCCTTTAAGCTCATCAAGCAACTCATCAATGGCTGGAATGGGAAACTTATCCGGGACTGTGATCTTGTTTAAAGCCCTGTAATCCACGCAAAATCTCCAACTCCCATCCTTCTTTTTAACCAACAGCACCGGGCTTGAGTAAGGGCTGTGACTTGGCTGTATAATTCCAGCCTTAAGCATATCCTTGACCATGTTTTCAATCTCATTTTTTTGGGCATGTGGATACTTGTAGGGCCGTATATTTGGGGGTTGTTCCCCGGGCTTGATGACAATCGCATGATCATGAGGACGGGGTGGTGGTAATCCCTCAACTGGTTGGCAGACCGCAATAAACTTATGGAGTAGTGATCGAATTTCTGGAAGCACCGACTGGGCATCATGCATGTCTCCCCCTTGTGATAGACCATTATATTCAATCATGAAAACCTCCTCTCTTTTCTGCACTGATCGAATTAATGATTTGAGGGAGACTTGAGTCTTAGCCAAGCTTTTAAGCATACTCGGTTACCCCTTTTTCCTATTTCCATTGTTAACTGTCCCCAATTCATCTTCACATCTCCTAAGGACTTGAGCCATTCAACCCCTAGCACAGCATCTACTCCACTTAGAGGAAAAGGGTAGAATGTTTGAATAATATTGAGCCCCTGTACCTTCAGACTAAGGTCCCTACATCGTTGGTTCCTCTTAAGATTGTAGCCATCCCCGACTGTGATCGTATACGTAGGAATTTCTTCATAAGGCATCTGCTTCTTGGTCATGAAACCTTCTGATATGAAGTTATGGGTTGCTCCACTGTCAATCAACACTATAATTTCTTCACTCTCCATCACTCCTTTCACCTTCATCGTGTGATTTCCCCCCAAACCAGCAATGGAGTTCATTGACAGCTCCATTTTTGTTGCTGTCATATCCTCCTCTTCATTAATTCCTGTAAGTTCGTCCCCCTGCTCGTCATCTTCTGGCTGTTTTGGTGGTTCGATTTCCATGATCAACACATGTAGCTGTTTGTTTCTGCATGTGTGTCCTAGTCCGAACTTATCTCCACACTTAAAGCAGAGTCCGAGTTCCCTTCGTCGCGTGATTTCGGCCTCTGACAGTCTTCACACAGTGTTTCCTCCTCTGGCCGAAGCATGCCCAGTCGAAGAGCTTGCTGTTTTTGACTCGTAACTCTTCGTTTCAGTGTTCCCTTCGTCTGTTGCTGTAGAAGGGACCACCGTGTTTTTCCAGGGATCCGCCACGTGCGTAGCTCGTGTATAATAAGTCTGGGTTGAGTCGGTTTTTGGCCCACCTAAAAATTTCTGGATTCTGGGTACCCGAATTTCTCTGGCCCGTTCGACTTCCAGGTTCCTCTCTTCAACCCGAATGGCCATTTCCATCACCTCGCGTAACGTAAAAGCATTGGTGAGTTTCAACTCTGCTCTAATCTCGGTTCTTAATCCCCTTCTGAATGCTGCGACCAAACACGCTTCAGGTGCATCCTTCAAGGGCGCAGAGAGACGTTCGAACTCCTCTACATATTCTAGGACCGAGCCTTCTTGCTTCGCTGCCAACAACATCTCGTACTCATCTCCCAGCTGAGAAGGATGGAATCTGCGCAAGGCCTCGGTCTTGAATTCAGACCAGCTTCGCAAGGGTGTTCTAGTGTCAACCCATTGGTACCAGTTCAGGGCTCTACCTTCAAGGCATACTACTGCAGCCTCCAGCTTCTCTTTCTCTTCCATGGAGTTAACCTGGAAATACCTCTCTACTCTGAAGAACCATCCCAAAGGGTCTTCTCCATTAAATATCGGTAACTCCAGCTTTCTATACTTGCTAGGTTCTCTATCCGTTCCTGCACTTGTCTCTGCTGATTCTTCTTGGTGGCTCTTCCCACTCCCATGTAAGAGTGACTCGCTTCCCTTCCTATTTTTGTCTGATAATCGCCCCAAGGTTCCGCCTAAATCCTTCATCATGTCTCTGAGAGAAGTCACGTCTCTAGTTAGACTCCCCACTGTCTCCTTCAACTCTTGCAACTCAGGGTCAGCGTATTGCACCCTCTCCTCCATTTCTCTCCACACACAGGTCCTTAAATCGACCCGCTCTGATACCAAATGATGGAACTCTACTGCTAAACAGATAAATATGCAGAGATAATAGAGATTAATGACCAACAAATCAGGAGAAATACTGGGGTTTGATAATAATAATCCCAAAAGGCTGAATCAATGTTACAAAAGACACTTCAGCGATTCAAACAAACCCTATTCCCAAGTTACAGCCGGAACTCACAACACTACTATGGAACCCAAACACATGCAATGCTATCTAAGCATGCCCTCTGGTTTTTGAGAGCCAGTCTCTCCCTTGAACAAAACCCAAAAGTAATGACTCCTCCCCCCAAATGAAACTAACGGCTACTATAACCCAAAAGCAAAGTGCACAGTCTCCCACACCAAGTTCTGCTAAAGCAGACCTAAAACCACCATGAGTCAATACTAGGTTTGACTAGCTTTCTCCTTAAGAGTAAGGAGAGTAAGGTCAACGTTCTGCCCCTTAGAAAGATGCTTTCCCTTTTCTTGTATTTTTCTGAATCTCCTCTTATAGGTTTTTCCAGCAAAACAGAGTCTATCAGTTTCATATTAATAAATTTGAGAATTCCAGAAACTTTAGTTTGATGTTCTTCACCCTCAAATATGGGCCAATTGATTCCAGCATTGAAGCACGGGATTCTGTCGCGCAATTCAAGAGCTGAACAGTAGACAAACTACGCTGGAGGCATCTGAACAACTAACAACCGATTTCTCTTGCATCATTGCTACCTCTATTTGGTACACTCTGACTCTCTGGTTGTCCGAAAAAATTGGTACTCTATACCATCACTATCTGCTTGAAAATGCACTTTTGAAATAACAAAATGCACACACTACGAATTCAAGTCCACATCATCCTCTTTCGCTCCTCTGCATATGTCCTTATAAGCAAGAAAATTTCTTTCCTCCCTGACGCTTAAAGTTTCGCTCATCTTGTATTAGATTAGACTTTCCTGAACCTTATAATATGAATAACGTGTTAATTGGACAAAATGAGCTCTTTTGGGATTGTCGTGATGTTATTCCACACATCGTTTGGGCAAATGGTGAATCAGTTTTTGGGGCTGGAGCCACACGGCTCTAGGCTTTATTGCTCCACTTAAACATGTATTCTGAATCCAGGAAAACTGCAATGGATCTGATGTCAAAAAAGGCAGAGCAAAAATTAGCTTCAATGAAATCAATTAAGAGGAAGCAGTACATATGTATGTATGTATGTATGTGTATATGTACACTAAACTTCGCTTAATCAATTAACAGCAACAGAACACCTAAAGTGTGCCAAGGCGTCTGTGCAAACCTTCCGGTGTCAACAAGGCCTTGCCTATTGTTGCCCGAGTAGTTTCGTCAAATTCGCAAATATTCAAGTGAACAATTTTCCTCGGAGAAAAAACTCGCTTCGCTTCTTCTACTTCAACGAATATTTGAATGTTAGACATAGTAGAAGCTTCAGGAGTTGTTAGAAGCTTTTTTTTGCTTCACACACCCCCGGTCAATATAATAGGTATGGTTGGAATAATAATACTAAATAATATGAATAATATATCAAAACGACCTGGACATACAAGACTTTTTATTTCCAGGATGCTCAATAATGGAGTCCATAATTAGGGAGGGTGATCATCTTGACTAAATGAATTAGATTAGGAAGCACTCAATTAAGTTTTGGCGAGGGAAGCAATGAACCCCACCACTCGACAATGACACATAAAACATACATTTAATGTGGTCCGTTATCAAGACTTACTAATGACATGCCCACCAACAACAATCCTATTCCTATCTAAGGAACATCGTCGGCTAGATTTTGCGGTTTTCGATGCCAAGACAATGTATAAGGTTTATGGTATCTTAGATCGAATCAAATCTTTGATTGATTACAAAGGGGGGCATCGTCACTGCTTTTGAAGCTTCCTTCTTGCTTCCTATCGTTCGCCTGCAAGGTTGGCAACTTGACATCCCACCCCCACCCCCTTATCGCATGATCACCGTCACCACATACTTCGCATTCTTTGTATAATGTGGATTTTTATTAAAATGTAATGTAAATTTTTCTCGAATTATTTACATTTACACAAATTAATTGGTATTATTTTTATTAACCTTTTCTTTTGAATAGATTTTTTTTATTACTTACATTTATTCTCTTATTATTAGTAGCAATATTATTTAAAGCACAGTCAAACATAACATTTCTTTCAAAAATAATTCAAACCTTAATTTATCACATTATGGCTAATGCTAAACTCAAGCCTGTTAGTTCATTTGAATAGATACTTAGCTTATACAATCATATGTATATCGCTAAGCTTTTTTAATAAAAATAATAAATTGAAAAGAATAAATTTCAATGATTGCAAAAATAATCCATCTTGCTATTAAAAAAAATATCATATACATGTGTGTCACGAGATCCGTACTTCATCTTCATATCAGTCGCTACGGTATTGGGTTCAATGCATCCTCAGTTCCCATGTTGGATATAGCCAACAATGTTACTTAAATGACAATTCTTATAATCCAATGTACTTTCCCAACTTTTTGCCGCAAATGCAAACTCAAAACCCGGCACAGCGATGATTCATTCATTTAATAATTAATACTGCGAAATGTAGAGGAATGGAAACCGGCTTGGCATCCCTTTTCTGGTCCTTTTCCGATATGATCCAGATTGAGATTGAGACTGAGGCTTCACGTGAGGCGCTTCCCCTTGTGGATTTTGTTTCAGCTCTAAACTCTCGCCACTGTCACTCTACAATACAAATCAAATTAAATCATCATAACCATCCGCCACTTATTTTCCAAGAACAAGAATCTAGCGCGGCTGAACAAAAAAAAAAAAAAAAAAAATCAGAGAGAGACCTTACCTTGCACTGGACTGAGCAGAACCTTTTCTCTCTTTGGAATTCTCTTCCACAGGTCTTGCACGTATAGGAAGATTTGTTACTTCGGGACTTGGATTGTTCACAATGTCTTCTATTGACAAAAACTACTTGTTTGTGATTAATAATGAATGGGTGAATGTCGGAGATATCAATTAACTTGGACACCTGGCTTGCTTGCAGGCAATTCTCGGGCGAAGCTTTGTAAACCTCAAAAATACACGAGTCCACATTATTGTTAATAACAGTAAGTTTAAACGGAACACACACACACATATTAAAAAAAAAAAAAAGGTAATGAACTCAACGCTTACGGGGAGCACTAGGTGGTGTTCATGGGGGTGGTTGGCTCCTTTAGGGCAGAATTTGCAGTGCAATTGCAAGCAGGTAACGCAGAAACTAGGAAAGAACTTGGTGCTTTGATTGCAGTCAGAAGAATGTTGCAATCGATCTTTGTTCTTGCAAGCGTCCAACAATGATTGGACCCAGCCAGGATCCACTCGCTTCTCGCTGTCTTCAGTATTCATCACTATCAACTTTCAAGAACGTGGCTAGCTTCACTATTTCTATGCATCCCAACGCCAACTGCCAATCTTGATCAGTAACAATGTCTGAGTTTGTTTCAAGATAATCACTCTTTCTCCATTAATCCATCATTTTTATACTCTCATCTGGATATAATCATATTTCCCTCTTTAATTTATTAGATAGATTCTGATCTTCCCACGCTATCAGAATGAAATCGCTATGCCCCGCTCGCTTTTTATTATTTCTTTTATACATGTATATACTACAGATTCATATATTCTCTTTGATCTAAAATATAAACATTTCTTATTATCATAAAATATATATATATATATATAAAAAAACATTTATCCTCAGCTAATCTTGATTTTAAATATAAGCAATCTAATATAGGTAAAAAAAAATTATTTTATCTCTTGTATTTATTAACTTACTAATATATATTTCATTCATCATAGAGTGACATTAATAATTAGGATTAGAGATAAAAAGAAAAAATAATATATATTTTTATGAGAATGAGTGTTTTATTGATGTGTAAATTTTTTTCAAAAACTAGTTATTGTTTGGACTAGAAGGGGTATATACACACACACAAATCAAACAGGGTGCCTTCCACAAGGATTTGTTGGTCCTTCGCATGAAGGAGAGTATTAATTAATTTTTTTAATATAATCCCTATTTAAATTAATATCTATGACAGAGGATGTAATGTAAATTTAAAAATTTTTATTTAAAAATGAGTAAAAGTAATAGTTTATTATATTTTTAAACAAATTTAATAACTTAACCATGTCTCTTTAATTCCAATAAGGTAATTTAAAATGTCTTATAATAAAAATTCAAAATGAGTATATCATAATCAACTAGAATGGGCTATATGTACGTATATTTAATGTTCATTTTATTTTTTTTATTTTATCTAAAATCAAATCCCTATCCTTTTTGGCCAACAATCAACCGCTCTAACATTGAACGACGAAATATGCATTTCCAGGTTGAGTCTGAGGAACATCACTCTTTTTAAAATTTGAATTTTTAAAAATTTTAAGTTACACATATGCATTTTATTTTAAACAAACTAAAAGGTTGTATTTTTTTTTTAAGCAATGCGCAAAAAAAAAAGGTGATTGTTTGTTCAAAAAATATAGTTAACCATTGTCAGCAAATATACACATCAAAATTAAATATTCGGTAGATTAGCATTCTCTAGAATTTAAAATTTTGTATTTATACAATAAATTATGGATGTATATTGATGATAACTTAATACTTTCAATATAAAAGACTGTCTTTCTGAAACGTACGTTATGATCTGCGAGATTCATTTTGAGACTGTACAGATTGAATTTCAGAATTTTCATCAGTCTTTGGATCATAGGGATAAAGTTACATATTATGAAATTTCCTCAAATCGTTGGATATCCGAATTAAATAATTGTCGTTCAGAAATTTAAATTTATATATCTGAAATAATTAGCACAAATATATTTAATATCTCGAATGTAAAAATAAATATGATAAAATAAAAGAAATTTGCGTGTGTGAACAGACTCAAGTAAAATTGAAATTTAAAAGTAGTGAAAAATATAATAACAGTAATTTTTACTAAATTAGTGTAGATTTGGATCTTCTCTTTTGACGTTTGAACTTGAATCATAACGACTTTCTTGTCAAAAACAATACAAAATTGTTTACACTGCATGATTTGAAGTATCGAAAAATCAGACTGACCTGCTTTTCGCGTAATCTTTGCGTATAACTTGATGATTTTAGCTCGCGTGTTTCACAAAGGAAAGATGATGTTATACTAGATATGTGACACGGTGAAAAATCAATTGAAAGAAGCGGTAAAAATATCTAAAAAAATCAACTATGGACCTTTTCAGATTACAAGAGGGAAGAAGCTTCTTGGGACAGCGTTGGCTTTAAAAGTGCCCCATTATCACAGCAATCATTTATAACAACCAAATATTAAAAAAAAAAAAAAAACTCACATGGTACCTCACGCGCACTCCTCTTCCTGTGCCCCGTCAGCAGAACAACACGAAAGAGACAGGCAAGTATAGTTACTTCACGCTGAAGAATTTCCAATGAGCTGGTAATGATAATGGATGATGCATCTTTGGCATTAGAACGGAAATAAAATTGAGCTTAAAGGTTTTGCTTAAATAAAAATTTGATCTTTAAAAATTAATTTTTTTAAAATAATCAAATTTAAAACCTGGACCCTGATAAGTTTTAAAAAATGGCTCGGACTCGAATAGCCTTTCAAGCTTTAATGAGCCTAATTATTTTATACACACAAATATATTTAATTGATGATGACATAATTGAGATTTAATCTTTATCTCTATTTTCAACAAGTGAATTTACATCTGAAGAATCTAATAATGAGGAGGAAGATTAATATTTACATTGATAAAGATTTTAATTTTTATCTTAAATTTAAATTTTAAATTTTTATCAAAATTTATGTAAAACTTTGATTTGTTTTATGTTAAATTTTAAAATATTTTATTTAAATTAAAATTTTAATTTTTTTTAAAAAAGGCCTTAAAAGCCTGATCTTGAACCCTTTAAATAAATATCAGGCCTCATACAGATCAAATTTTGAGTAATTGAGCAAGGGCTAGGCCTATCATAATTCCCACCTCTATTTGGCATAAGTGTGCTCCCTTTGCCCCTTTTTTGCCCCATTTTAGCTTCCCTGTGACGAAGTAAAATACTTGCAAACTTATATATGTATGTGTTTATTTTTGTCTATACGAATAAAAGAAAAGGCGACTTCTTAGTTAAATTAACATCTAAATGTAACTAGAAGATTTTTATTTTTTATTTTTACTTTGCAAGTAATCTGAAAAGATTGATATCTAGAAAGCTAAAATTTTTATGGCGAATCAGAATCACCAACATACTAGTAGTTTTTTTTTATGAAAAATTTGAAATAGCAACGTGGTCAGAAATGTGAAAATATCAAAATAGGAAGATCAATAATTGCTCCGTATTTTATTTTATTTTATTGGGTCGAAGTTAAAAAGAGGAAGAAGGACAAAAGGACCGGGGGGTTGCAAAAACAAATAGTTGGCGGGCTGGTGGGTCAGTATTCAACCCGGCAGTTCGAGAGCCAGGTCATGTCCTGTCGAACTGCCCCTTTTTGGTTGTTGGAAATATTTGTTATAATCTATCATTTTATTTATTTGATCAAGAAGTCGTTTTCCCCCGAGCCTTTCCCCATCATCGTGGCATCATGCAGCGTAGCACTTGGATCTCCCATCCTTGCCGCATGGTCATCTGCTCAATGATTGCCTTTTTTTTTAAAAAAAAAAAAACCACTAAAATTTCAAAATAATAAATTTTTAACAGTTAGGTTTGAGGTATCCTCCTCCTTTTACTTCTATTTTCACGTTTTTTCTTTTTTTTTCATTACTCCTCACCCATTTATTCTGACAAAATTTTTTAAAATATCAATTATAAAGATTAATTTAAATAATTATAATTTAAAAAAATCTTTTTCTTTTTAATTGAATAAGGAGTAGATTTCATCTATAACAAAGATCATCTCCCATAAGGCACGGAAGGCAATGGAACTATGCATACAAGATTGAGACTCAAACTTTCAATCACTTGTTTAAGTTATGAGAGTTTTTATCACTTATGTTAATTTTAGTTGGTTAGTTTCAAGTATTCTAACTGCATTTAAAACATGTAAAATTTAAATATGACTCTTAATTTATTGTTAAAATTTTTATTTATAATTATTTGAATCAATATATATTTACAACTTATTTTTTAAAAAATGAAAACTTAACTATCATAAATTCTTTATTTTAAAACTTTGTCATCATTCTTCCAATTTTTTTATTTGAATAATAACTGATTATTTACACTCCCTTCCTTGCCATCTTATGCCTAGCCATTGCATTAAATTGTCATGTGTCATTTGATAATGTGACTTTTTAAAAGGTTTTTTGAATTTTTTTAGTTAGAAGCACAATCATTATTGTTAAATTCTCGAGTTGATCATTCTTCTGTTTTTAGCTTATAAAATTGTATTAATTCAATCATAAACTTGAACTATATAAATCTCATTTAAACTTGCAAGTTGACTCTTCGAGTTTTTTTTTTATATTTATAGCTTATAAAATTGTATCAATTAACTCATAAACTCATTGAGCAAGATATGTATATATTATGTAGAACTTGATTTATACAAGCAGTAAGACCCGGTTTAATAAAAAACAATAGTAATAAAAAAGAAAATACAAAATACAAAAAATAAGTTACTCTGTTTTGAAATTTATATGTTCAATATAATAATTTATGAATGTAGATGGTTGTAATTTCAATAATTTATAAGTGGAACATATTTAAATTGAATTATGATCATATTTTAAATTTTAATTATTTAATTATATACAGTTATTTATTAATAAAGATAAATTTTTAAATATTTATGATTTGAATTTATATTTTAAATTTATATTTTTATCATAAATTTATTTAAACTCACAAGTTAAACAACCTTTAAACATAACTATGATAACGCAATAGGGAAAGAAATATTTGCAAATCATATCACTGAGCAATCTGTCAAAACAGCAAAATGGAGGTGAATGATTAATAGGCTGTGGACTCTCATTTAGGGGTGAGCAAAACTGAATTAAAACTGAAAATCGAACCAAATCAAATCAAATTTTATCTATTTAATTTGGCCTATTTAATTTTTCAGTTTGATTCGATTTTTTTATTTTAAATATTTTGGTTAACCAGTTCAATTCAATTAGTAAAATTTAAAATCGAATAGATCGAACCGACCGAATTACATATAATTTATTAATTTATAAATTATATTTAATTTATAAATTATTTTATTTTTTTATTTTAATAAAGAATAAAAAATAATAACATCATTTGAAACCTTATTTTGATCAGTCACTCTCAACCCTATTTTTTATAAATTGTTTACTTGATTATCCATGTCTTTATAATATTTGGGTTTCATGTTATATGGATGTAATTAAAATGGACTCATATTAAAAAAAATAAATAGGAAAAGGCTCAATTTTACGGTATTGTTTGTTTTAATATTTAAAAAATGAGTCTAATTTTAATAACCCAATATAAAATAAAAAAATTGAATTAACTGATCCAATCAAATTATTAAATTTTGATTCGATCCTTATTTAATTTAATTGGTTTGATCAGTTTGATTTTATTTTTATTTTTAATATTAGTCGGTCAATTAATTTTATATATTTTGAGACCGAACCAAATTTGCCCATGCACACCCCACCCTCATTCTTCTTTTGGTTGACGAGACCTACTGGCACTCAAACCATAAATTGTGTCATTTTTTTAAAGAAAAAAACCAATAGCGTGTCATGGATTTTAATTACGGTCACCTCGCTTGGCACAGCGGCATACTGCAGATGGAAACCCACTTTAATTAGCTAAACATCTACCTCATTATATCTTGTTTGGCAAAAGAAACAAAAAAAAAATCTACTAACCACATTACCCAAATATCAGCAACAAATTATAGGGATATTTTTTTTTATAAACTTCAGCAAAACATAGGGATTAATATGCGTAACAGGACAAATTGAATTGAAATTTTAGATAAATTAGGATCAAGTTATTATTATTATATCATTAATTTCAAAGTAAACTGGAGCTCGCAGAGCAAGAAAAGCAAGCTCCAATCCCCGGCAACCTCGAAAGGAGGGCCCGCTACAACTGTCACGGCAAGTTACAGCCTGTAAAGCGTCTCCCCGTTGCTCCCATTTTTACAAACAATTTCAATTCTTTTAAAAAGAGAATAGAAGAAATGACAATATAATTTTTTTAAAAATTATATAAATAATATTTGGTTTTTTAAATATTATAATTCTTAAAAAAATTTTAATATTTTTTATCATTAAAAAATTAATATAAATAATTACATTATTTTTAATTTAAATATTAATTATTATTTATAATTTTTAATTTAAAATTCATAACTTTTGTTTTTAAGAGTACAAGAATGTAACAATAATCCACGGGTTGACATTTAAAATTTTAAATGTAAGATAATTTAATTATTTATATTAATTTTTAATAATATAAAAATTTTAAAAATTTTAAAAGAATTATGACATTTTATTTGTATAATTTAAAAAAATTTTATTATTAATTTTTTCAAGAAAATATAATTAAAAAATTCAGTTTCTCACGACAAAGGACAGATCCGACGGGGCCATATGGTTCAAATCACGAGGCTGGCTCCTCCTCCTCCCTATATAAACCCCTCCCTTCATCCCTGGGCCTCCGCGCAATTCCCAGATCGGCCTCCGTCCAAGTGTCCAAGGGTTGTCTATTTCCAAAATGGGTAATTGCAGCACCTCATCTTCCACCCAGGTGGCCACCACCGCCAAACTCGTTCTGCACGACGGGAGGCTCCAAGAGTTCTCCTATCCCGTCAAGGCTTCCTACGTCTTGCAGAAGTATCCCAGGTGTTTTATTTGCAACTCCGACGACATGGACTTCGACGACGTCGTCAGCGCCATCGACGAAGACGAACACTTGCAACTCGGCCAGCTCTATTTTGTGTTGCCTCTGACCCGCTTAGAGCATCGCTTGCGGGCCGAGGAGATGGCCGCATTGGCCGTCAAAGCCAGCTCGGCCCTTACAAAAAGCAGCGGGGGTGGGAAATACGTCTGCGGCCGGCAACAACTCCTGTTTTCCGGCGAAGAGACAAAACGATCTTTTAAGAGAGTGTCTCTGGGAGTTAATAACGGCGATAAGTCCACCAGGAGAGGGAGGAGCGGGGGAAAGTCTACAGCTCTGTTGAGTGCAATACCGGAGTAGGGGTAGTTTCAGTCCAAAATGTGGGCCGGTGATTTTGTTTTTGCTTTTTTTTTTTTGGTTGTTGTATATACATTTAATTTGCTCCCCAAGGAATACTTAATTCTCGAACGTGACAAAGAGCTGGATGTTCCGTTGAAAACAAATTATAATGATTAGATTTGAGCAGTGGGCAAAGCTTGACTCGTTCTGGTTGCTTGTTCTATCCCTGGCTGTCATCTGTCTCGGGCAGGTCTCATTCTAGAGGCGCGTACGAGTGGTTATTTTGAAATCATCCGTGACTTCGGTGCTGTGAACGTAAAACGTGAAAATAGTCTAGCTGTAGTAATTGAAGCTTGAAGGTCATGAACAGCAGTGACCGTATAACATTACGCGCTAATCAACTCGCATAACATGATTCTACGATATTATGAGGATGGCCATTGACATCGGATTGGATTAGGGAATGGGAAACCCTTGCCAACCTTGCAGGGCAGCAGACACATTATGCAGCAAAAAACGCAAGTCCAGAACGTGTAGAACGTCTAGGATATGCATAAGAAAGGGACGAAGCAGATACCGGGTGTAGTGACAATGAGAATAGCGTTATCCCAACGCAATTGATTAATGATGTGACAATAAATCCAACCATAATTATTATAAAGATAACTCCCGCTTTCAGCCAATGGGACTCTCCAGATTCATATCTGATTCATTTAGATCGAAAGAGATCGATGGCGACTAATTCAGTCGGTTGGGGGCATTTGACGTGGACGGGAATAAATGATATCGATAGAAGACGAAGAGGATATGATGATCTCAATTTGGCATTTGCAGATTGACAGACGCAACAAAACAGTAGAATCCACGGGGAGGATTTGTGGGTTCGGGTTAGAACCGGATGCAATTGTCTACAGCTGTATACACTCGAATTCAGATCAGATTGGAACCACGCTCTTCAATTTCATCCATAGGGAAAGGAAAAAAAAAAACTGTTTCATTATTTTGATATTCAAACAATCACTTGATCCCTAATTATACATACATTTGAAAATAAGATTTGGTTCTGTGAGAGCGCAGAAATCGTCAAGCGTAAACCAAAATGGGCGGAGATGATTACTGAGTATGGTATGGCGTATTAACGTGACGGGATGAAAAAAGAAGGGAGAATTGATGAGATGGAATGAAAAAGACGCGAGTGAGTTGGGTAATTATTTGGGTTCTAAATTCTCATGAATTAGGGTTCGGTTTAGTTGGCGGATGAGTGGGAGGGAGGCCCAACAGTTAGGTGATGCAGTGCATAGTTATAAGTTTGTAAACTGGTAATGTAGTTAGGATAACATAATCCTCTGACTCGCACTGCTGTTAGGCAGAGGATTTGATAACACGGCTTCACTAATTCCATACTCAGTACAGAACCCCATCGTTATTAGGCCACCAGCATTTGCATCAGCATAATCCCAAACATAATAGGATTTTAAGGTGCGTTTGGTTTTGAATTCAGTTTACTAAAAAAGCTTTTGAAATAAATTTTGAATTCAAATATTGTTTGGTTTTTAATTTTTTTTAAGAAGTTCATTTAAATAGTCTTTTTTAAATGTGCTTAACTATGCTTTTGGTCAACTTAAAATGATAGGGCTTTTAAAAAGTGAATTTAAAAAAAACATATTATTTGATCATATTTTTTTAAGTTTAAGCTCTTATTCTTTTATTTAAAAATTTAGTTAATTCATAAAAAATATAATTATCATTCTAATAATAATTAGATATCAAGTTTTTAATATTATAAATTGAATAATTAATCATATTAATTTTTAACAGTAATAGATAATAAAAATTACAAATCTTATCACATATTTTAAAATTATAAATTGAAAAGGTAAAAATAATTAGATATCAATTTTTTAACATTAGAGATCAAACTTTATGTTATTTAAAATTTTTATCATATTTTTTAAATATTTTAAATATATTACATTTGTATAATAAAAATTATAAATCATCATAAATTAATATTATTTTTAATAATTATATATTTAAAAATATATTTTACTGTTATAATTTAAATAATTTTTAATTTATCAAACTAATGTTTTTGAAAAAATATATTTAAATATAAATTTTATTAAAACAATTAACTTTTATAAAAACCAAACCCACACTTAATCTACAGGGGGGACGAGGCACTGTTGTTAGTTGGGAAGAAACGGGTGACGGCTCATGACATTGCTAGGAGGGAGTAAAAGAGCCAGCTGGTGGAATCCGATGCGCCTCGAGCCTTTGTCTTAATCTGCTGCTCCCCTTCGACACTTTTGGCAAAAAGAAAGAAAAAGAAAGCCCTCAACACTATTGAGTGATGGCGTGGGACTAGGGTGTTTGCACTTCTTTTTTTTTTTTAAATTTTCTTTCACTTTTTTCATTTCAATTACACATATTATTTTATTAAATAAATTTTTTAAAATTATAAAATTAATGAACGATTAAAATAGGAGAGGTGAAGAAAAATGGAGAGATTTCTCTCTAATCAGTAACAGAGTGCAAGGGCCCACTGCTCTCCGATTCAACCCCCGACACGCAAAACAATTACGCGCCACAGTGCCCGTGATCACCAACTGTGGTTACGTTGTGTGTGGTGTGTACAGTACTCCCTCTGCATAATGGCAACTTTCTAATTTACCACAACAAGACAAACTTGTTTTCATTTTCATGTTTCTGCGGGGAGGGGGACCCCCGGCGCATGGAATCAAGCTATGTGGTCCTCCCACGTCACTCCTATCCATCTAACCTTCCTCCGAGTTTTGTTTTGTTCTCCTTTCCGCCATGGTTGAACTTTTTTAAGTTATTTCCTCCACCTCCTGATTCCCATGAAATTATTGCAGAGTGGGGCCTCATTACACGACGCTTACCACTTACTTTTTCGGGATTGGTCCTGACACGCAGTTCCAAGTTCAAGTTGGCTCCGTCCCCGGAACGGTGACAATGTGAAGCAGGTGGGTAAATACTATTCCACTGTCCTGTTACGCTATGGGATTGAAGTGATTTGTTTTAATTCAAGTAATGAGATTTTAATAAAACAACTAATTTAACTAATTTTTTGATTTCTACTATGAATCAACCAGTTCTCAGCACCTGCTTACCCCCCCACCTTTTGTGAATGTGACAACCCTCCCTTCTTTCTTTTCAGAGTGGCTTACATTTTCCTCCTGTGACCAAACAAATGCGGAAAGTTTCAACAAATGTAATGAGACCTTGAAACTTGCAGGAAGTGACGATGGTGAATGTAATAAAACTCAGCATGCTTTGATTTCTCTGTTGCTGCAAGTGGGAGAGGACTGGATAGGTATATCAATTAAGCAAACAGAGGCAGAGTAGGGCGGCCTCCACCACGTAAACCCTCTAGTGTGGTGCGAGTAACATCTGGGGTCGGTTTAAATATAGGGGAATGTCAAAGAATGGTTTTGCAAGCCCATGAGCTTGGGGTTATGGCTTAATCGTATCGAATTTTTCTTCTTCGGAAACCTAAAACCATCGTGGCCCCTCCTTTACCCAGCATATCCAAAAACATGGGCCCGCTCCTTCTCTTCTCCCTGTTGAGTGTTGAGAGTGGAAACACTGCTGTGATGATGTGTTATTTTGAATCCAGCTGTAGCCCCACTAAGTTTTTTAGAGAGAAAGAGAGAGGGAAATGGTTCTGTGATAACTTGATATCAAAATTAGACTCTAGTTTGTCCAATCAATAGGTTCTTTTAATGGGTAACCTATAATGAGAATATCACAGATTAATTGGAGAAATTGTTATGTTTTGCATTGTAAAAACTTAAAAAAAGTTCTGAATATATAAGCAAATATGATACTAGCTTTTTGAAAAGAAAATAATTGCTTGTGACAGTCTCCTCATTGGCCCCAGCCACAATAACGCGCATGTGCTATGGCTTCAATTCCTTCCATTCAATACATCTTACCGGACTGGTTTCAGTGCTTAATGCAGCGTGCTCTACACTATACTAAGATTTAGACTATTTAAATTTTAATTAATTTAAATGATTCAAATTTAAAATATTATTATATTTTATATTTACTAAAATAAAAATTATAAAATAATTTTAATAAATTTTTTTAATATATTTAAATTTAATTTAAGGGGTTCAATTTAATATTAAGAATTTTATAATTAATGTACATTGAATATGCAGATATATCATGCACAGTTGAGAACAATAAACTAGAAATCTTTGCGTGTCAAGGGGTACGAAAATTGTACAATCTTATGGAGGAATTAATGAAGCCTGATTCAGTGCGGCAAATTCCTCGTATTCTTTAGCTAGAAGGCATTTCTTTATTAATCTCATATGTTGAGCTAAGAGACGCTACCGTGTCTGACGTCGTTAATGTGATAGTGGGCACCTTCCATGATGATTTATTATTATAAAATCTATCATCACGCATATATTCGTAATCCTTTTTCACTTTACGGGAACCTCTCTGGAGAATCCTTACCGTAGATATTAATTACGATGTGAAGTAAGCAGTCACTTTTGTTTAAAAAAGTAAAGTCCTGCCTTTTGGTTCGGTATACATCTTTTCAGTGGCAATGCTGTCCTGTCCCCTTTTTCCCTCGCTGAGTTAATCACAGCGACTTCTTCCATTTTACTTGATTGATTTTCATGCTTCGCTTTATTCATTTAATTAAAATTAAAATCAACACTTTTGACTTTTTTTGCAAAATCCAACGGCACCTATTTATGGTTACGGCGCCATAAACACCCAGCACTACCTTCCACTGCGACTTGCATGTAATACATCACAACAAAAAAAATCCCCCCTCTTTGTCTTATAAAAGCAAACGTTGTAGGGGAAGCAATCTAATTAGAAATGAGTGTGTGAAGTTTAAGTTTTACCTATTGGAAACAGTGACTGTGATGGTTCTTTTTGGCTAGAGATGAGAATTAGTTTCAATAATTTAGTTGTAAATTAATCAATATCTCTGTTAGAGCTAAACAAATGGGTTTAATCCACTAGCCAGCTTGTTAGGTCTTTAATTTTTATTTTTTTAAAAAAATAGATTAGGCTGCTCCAAAATGCAAAATTAGCATGCTAAATAGGCTAGCTCACTCGCAAGTTGTTTTTTTTAAAAAAAAAAAATTTAAGTTTAGCTAGTCATCAACATCTTTTTTTCATTATTTTTTTATTCGCTAGATCCCTAAATGTAAAAAT